AGAGGTGCTCGAGTCACCGTCGGAGTGTCGCTCAGCGGAGGTGCAATAAGAGGAAATCTCTTTCTTCGCTTTTGCAATAAAGAGGAATCTTAATGCCGAATCTCCGATAATGTAGCTTCTTTCTCTTTCTTTCTTTCTTTCTTGTTCACTTCCGTTCACTCTCGAAATTTTTATTTCACATTTCCGAGAGAGCAAAACGCTGTGCAAAATACCGTGTGAGGTGCGATATTGTAATCCTCGCGTAAATATAAAATCATAGGGCAAAACTGACATAGGTAAACTATTCCACCGTCTTAGCTCTTATTGCGTCGTAGAATTAAAGGTTTGACGTAGGGCCAAAATTTCGGCTTCGGGTAGACTTTTCTTTTTTAAATTAGGCGACTCGCACTCTGATACTGATATAATCTGCATCCACCGAAAGTCCAATGTTTACCGGTAGAAAAAATATTTGAAAGATAAACAATATTTATTCGAGCTCGAGTTCCCGCGCGACCGAGGCGTTCGGGACTTCGCGTTTTCACGTCGGACCTCGCAATCGCAACGGCGAACGGCTCGGCGATTCGTTCGCTTCCGTTTCGCACAAATCGCGAACTTTATTACTCGGCAGGACTCGGCTTCGGGTCCTCCTCTTTCCTCCCAACATCCATCGCTTTAATCCTTTTTATTCCTGCCTTCGCCTGACGTGGAAGAGCGCGGCGCCGCGGACTCGCAGCGTCGTTCCGCTATTTTTACAAGGTAACTCGACTCGCGACGAGGAGATTAGCCGGCACCAAGCCGATTTGCGCGGCCCCTACAAAATCCCGCGTTTAAATACCGCGCGGATCCGCGCGCGCACGGTCGACTGCGGTCGAAATGTTCGTTAGGGGTGTCCTGGACGTCCGGGGGAAAAATCTTACGCGACGAATATTCAACGAGTGACGAGGCCGGAAGCCGAGTTTTCGACCGGACATTTGGACGCGCCTCGAACTCGCCATCTTCGTCTCGAAGGTTTTTTACTTACTACCAATTACTGTCAATTAATCTTAATTATATTTTATATAATACTTTTCAACATATTTACCTTGTAAAAGTAACACAAAAATCTCAGTGGACCGTTTTTAATAAAAAAAAACCTTTTTTACCGTGTAATTTCGCGTAAATTCTACCGTCACACATATGTTCTTTGCCAGTCTTTGTATTGAAACTTTTTACTATTACACAATTTTAGCCTTTCACGCGTACGGAAATAAGGTTGGAGTTATCACAATTATTTACTAAAATTCATAAAAATTTCACGATTACAACTAGTGCTGCATCCACGATTTTCAATCTTACGCGGTACGCGCACGACAGATCGAGAGGGAAATGAAGCTACCGCGGCAACAAATTCGCGAAATTAACATGCAAATTAACGGGAGAAATAAACGCCCGTACACACATATTATCGGGCTAGGCTGCGGTGTTTGCAACTAGGCTGCAATTACCGCCTTCCCCCTTCCCACCCAGATAAAGCTGTTTCACTTTGCACAGCCGGGAGAATTATAATCAGAGGAATATTTAATTTCACGTGTATACCGGCGTATTTTCCCGGGGCGCGGCAGTGATAATAGTCTCGCGAAATTAACCCGGGCCGCGATTATATGAGCGCGCGAGCGAGTCTTCGCGTTTTCGAAATCACGACGCTTCGCGTGGATTGCGTTACGCATTCGCACAATGGCTCGCCGACGCTCTCGACGCTCGGAGGAGGAAGAATCCGCGAAACAGCGCGCGCATTTAGCGATTCGAGCAGCGAGAACCCCGCGGAAAGATCGTTACCCTGTCGGGGATCTCGGAGGAGAAAATTACGACGCGACTTTACGAGAGAGAGAGAGAGAGAGAGAGGGGGGGAGCAACGACGGTTATCAGTCTTATTTACGAGAGTACCTCTCGATTACGCGTCGCATCCCATTCGACGGAGGGGGGGGGGGCTCACGAACACGCGAAATTGCTATTCACCTCATCTGTATGTTTCCGTTCTCGCGGAGCTACCGGCGGCTGTATGCGTTCGGTCGCGAAGTAAGTCCGAGCACGTCGATGCACTAAAGGCCTCGACCTCGTTGACCCGCATCACGAACGCATAAGAACGTCATTAGGAAGCCGGGGGATGACGAAGGTCCGCGCTCGCCGAAAGTCCTGGGGATTACGCAGCTGGACGGTCCTGGAGCGTCATATTTAACGCAAGGGCTCGATCGTGCCGGAAGAATCGACTGGCGTCACGTTTCCGTCAAATTACTACGAATGGGAGACAATTAAATTCGCACGATTAAAGCTGTAACGTAGAAGAAAGATCTAAGACAAAGGGTGAGAATGCGAAAGTAAGGCGCGCTGCAGGAGAAGTTCCGTTGATTCGACAGTCGCTGCTGCGATACCGCGGAATAATTATTAATCCCGTTGTGGAAGAAGGCGTACTCCTCGTACACACACGTGCTATTCCTCTGGTATACATACGCGGGCGGGCCACGTCGAGGTGCAAGCGCATCGCTTCCGGTGATGCACCGCCGCCGGTGACGTAAACAACGTTCACGGAGTCGCGCCCGCAGCGTGAGTAATGCGCCGCTCGCCACGGTCGGTGCTGCTGGATTGATGCGGGCTGTCGAGGACCACCGTCTATACGGTGAATACAAAGTATCGAGCAGTACACAGGAGCTCCACATACGAGAGAGGAAGACCGCGTGAGCGGCGGTAGAAAGGGAGAAAGAGAGAGAGAGAGAGAGGAGGGGAGGGAGAGAAAAAGTTAGAAAGTGTTAAGGGGAGGGAGAGAGAGGGTCACCTCACTCGGTCTCCTCCTCGATGGAAAGAGATCGCACGTCGAGAGGACGCAGAATGGAGTTTACTCCGACGAATTCAATCTCCGTGTGAGAAAAGACGAGATCGTCGATTCGACCGTCTATGCATGCGCCACGCGGGGGTGTATTCCGGAAAATGCGGGGCATTGCTCGTCGCCACCGGGGGGAAGAATCGAGCTGCACTTAGGGCCGAAATCCTCGCGATTTCGAGGAACGTGAGGACCCCTCGACTGCTCTACCCGCGCTCTCCCTCTCCTCTCTCTTTCTTTCTCTTTTTCTCTTTCTACACTCAAAGGCCGTCGGTTGTCCGCGATCCTCTTCGAAACGGCCGCACTCACTGCACCCCCAAATGAGAAGGTTAGAAGGAGGGGGAATGAGTGAGAGTGAATAAGGGGGGGGACGACGGGGAAGCAAGAGAGCCGGGCGAAATATAAAAATAGCGTCGCGCGGTCGACAATTGGATTTTTGACAAATATGCCGACAGTAAGGATTTATTTTCGCGCGTTATCGCTCCCCGCCGAAACGTCCAGATCAATTTCCGTCATTTCGAGTGTTTTATCAAAATCTGGAACGTTGTGATTTATTCGAAATACCCGGAGGCGGGGGAAGCGCGCGCGGCGCGTTGTCAAGTGCGCGAGCACCTTTGAACAAAAAAAAAAAAGATATAGAGCAACGCGTTTCGATATTTCATTAAAAAGATACGTCGTATCGCCTGTGCGTAAAACGCCCAGACACATTTCATATTATCCAAATATTTTATTATATAATATGATATTTTAGTCGCCATCATGCCGTATCGTTTAGCATATGGTAACCAAGAGTATCCTGTTTTATTTTATATCCCTTCCATCGCAAATTTTTCTGTTTTATCGTCCCTCGATCTCCGTACGCGCACGTTCCGCGAGTACGTGTGTGTGCGCGAATATATTCGTGTGTGTGTACACACGTACGCTATGCCGATCGTTCCCAAAGTGCGTCTCCGTGATTTATGCGGCCCATATCGTTGCATAACGCGCAATGCAACGTAACTCACACAGCCACCGACCGGCCGGCCGGCTGGCAAAGAAGACGAGACCCGAACGCGCGCGATGTGTTATTTATTAATGTATTTATCCGTGCATAATCTGCGCGTCCGTGTCCGGGCTAAGATGATATACAAGCGGCACGTAGTTTAAGTCGCGCGGGAATAACGAGAGGAGCGTGTTATGCTCGCGAGCGAGCTGCAGATGCGCCTTGTTTCGTTTGTTTGGTGAAGTTTGAAGCACGTTGGAGCTACATTTTCCCTTTCCCTTTCTCTCTCTCTCTCTCTCTCTCTCTCTCTTTCTACCTTTCACGATCCGGAAAATTTCTCATTTGTTTCCATTATTTTGCGGCACCGGTCTCTGTCCGCCCTTTTGTTATAGCGTGCGCTAACTTTTTTAGCATAAAAATTTATGATTCATTGATGATCGCGTCTAGTTCGTCCGAAAAGCCGCGCTTTCTATACGTGTGTATAAATATAATTCCGTATGTGAATGACACATCGAGACAGCGTGCTCGCTCTCTCTCTCTCTCTCTCTCTCTCTCTCTCTCTTTTCCTCTCTCTCCTTCTTCAAATATATCTTCGTATTCGGACCTTTTTATGAAATAATTGCCGTCAATCATGCAAATTCGATAAAAGTTTATGCGATTTGTATGGGACTCCGACGCGCGCAAAATGCATAAATCGCTTTTAATTAGTCAATTATTCAGCCTGACATTTGTCACGGAATGAAATTTGCAATTAACAACGCTTCGCGTTAATTTTTCACCGCGGCCTGGAGCGAAACGCAAGTCAGCGCAGCGCAGGCCGCGCGAACACAATATGTCAATATCATTTATCCTTTGAAAGGAGGGGGATAAAAATATTGTTGCATTTCGCCGCGCGATCCTTTTTATATACTAAAAAGTTGCGCGATGCGGCGTTCAACGTGCAGATCGATAAAATGCAAACGCGAAATATAGGAAAATAAAGTAACGTTGGAAGGGGGGGGGGGGGTCGGCGTGCGCAAAAATATATTTCGATGTGCGGCCGTACACATGCCGGATGCGCCGCGCGCACTTTTTATTTACGCGAACACCGCGAGTATTACAACTTTTTATGCGGCCCATTGTTATTTGCATCGTAAGAGGAAAATATATCATTATTAGGATCATATTGCAATCGCGAAAAATGCATTACTTTGTTGCGCTTATTCCCTGAAATTTACAACGCGAGGAGAGTTCTCGGTCGTTAAGCTCTCTCTCCGAGCGTCGTGCGTTGCTCTTTTTTGCACGCAAAAGGAAGAAAAAGGGAAAATTCTAATCGCATTTTCATCAAAGTGTGTGTGTGTGTGTGTGTGTGTGTATGCGCGCGCGCAAAATATTCATAATCGAGCATCGCTGGGACCGACGTAAAGGGTGAGGCGCGTATGGAGTAACGCTTCGGGCAAATGACGCGTGTACCGATAATGTTAATCGCGGTAATGAGATTACGCGAAATTACGCGCGTAAAGGGCCGAGGCAATTAGATAATGCGGCGAGCGAGCGAACGAACGAACGCACGAATGGGAGAAAAATGAGGGAGAGAGCCGTGAAGAAGCGCGACGCGCCGCCGAGAACTTTTATCTCCGCGAATGTGCGGCATGTTCTTTTCATAATGCGTCGCGAAATCATTTAAAGTTGCTGCCACTCGTGCAAGTAGCAAGCGTGGAGGAACGCGAGGAGATGGAGCGAGGAAGAGAACGAAAAGATAAAAAGAGATAGGGAGGAAGGGAGAGAGAGAGAGAGAGAGGGAGAGAAACGCGCTCTTCTCGGGACCGAGAATATCGCCTCGTTGAAGCTTTGTTCGTCGCGAGATACACTCGACATTTACTTACCGTCGTACGTCGGCTATTGTTAATTCGCTGAACAAACTTTTTCAATTGCACGAACAGCGCCGGCAGCGCTAGAGGGCCACTTGCGAGAGGAGGAGAATTGGAGTCTCCGAAGAATTCTCGATCGTACAGTCGAAAGTGGAAAAGCCGAGGGCGGACTATCGGCGCATTGGGACACGAAGTTGGAGCCGTAGCACCCCCCTCTTCCTATCCACTCCCATCCTTCTCCCCCTGGGCTCTCTCCTCCTCCGGTCTGCTCCTCTTTCCTCTTCACGGTACTCTCTTTTCCGAACAATTGTGCAATTGATATTGATTCCTTTCCGCCCGGAATAACGTCTGTCATTTGCAAGCGTTTCCCACCCTGGGAAATGTTCGCGATACAGCTTTAATCAGTCGGAAAGTTCGAGAGAGAGAGAGAGAGAGAGAGCCACGTTAATGCCGTGAAAGGGAGAGGCTTTTGAAAAACCGGCGCATAATTTCGAAACATCGAGCACAAAGTTCATATCACTCGGCTGTCGTCGAGACAAAAAGAGAAAGAGAGAGAGAGAGAGAGGGATAAATAACGAAATTAAAAATACGACATGTAAGCGCTCGAAGGCTGAAAAACCACGAGTCCGAATGGAAAAAAAAAATATGTTTCTCCACGACAAGAGACAATATTGTGTCTTTGAGCCATTTAAGCTCCCGAGCTTTTTGTCATTCGACAAGAACAACGTCGTCGCGAGACGCGTTTCTTTTTTACCCTCAGCTCACACGTGAATTCGGATCCGTGGGGTCGCACTCTGCGCGTACACAGGAGCGGGGAAAACGATTTCTGGAGCCACCCGGCCGCGAGTTCCGGCTTGACGAAGCGGAAAAACGCGTTCGCCGGGCGGCGCCTGAAAAATGCGAAATGCGTCTGACGGGAACCACCTTTGCGCTCGTCAGATTTTCGTCATAATCCCGGAATCTCGTGAAGGAGAAGAGACGACCGCGTCAGCGGAATGACGGGAGGGGCATAGGTCGGGGTGGTGGAAAGACGAAAAGGAAAAAGTCGGGACGAGTCGCCGGGACGAAGAAGTCATTGACATTGACTTTGTCCCGTTGGCCCGGAGTGAGGGCGGAAGGAGCCGCGCGGGAGGTGGGGAGACGGCGAGAAAGAACGTGGAGGAGTCTAGGAATGTGAAACTGTCGTGGGGAAAAAGAGGGACGTGAAAAAGGGAAAAAAGATAGGAAGAAAAGAAAGGGTAAAGAGGAGGAGAGAGAGGTGGTAGGAAGCGACGCCTGTCGGACAGGATGGAGAGGAGGAATCCTGTTAGATGGCCAATTGTCGAGTTCATGATCTACGGAAGCTAAAAAAAAAAAGCGGATAAAGTTTGATTTGATGAGCGCGCGCGCGCGAGAGAGAGAAAGGGAAAGAGAGATTCTCTATGCAACGAATAACAATGTCAGCGCGTGATATTCCATTTAATTAATCGGATATAGTGCGGCGAAAGATTTTTTTTTTCACAGATCCCGCGCGGCGTCAACGAGGCGGCTGCTCGTGTAAACTATCGGCTCTGTATAATGGAAAGTGTTTATTTCGCGCTTTTAGGGGAGAGCAAATGGAACCTCCGAGGTGAGCGAGGTGCGGGAAAGCGGAACGGGGAAAGGATACACGCGATTGCTTCGGCGCATGCAATCGCGCGGGTAAACATATTTTAAAATAAAAATTACTCGGATAAATCAATCCCGACGGGGGGGAAGGTGAATCGCGAGGCTCTACAATCACGGTATCGGATAGTACGGTGTACTGTATACGAGAGCAGAGTCGGGAATGAAGAGTTACGTTTCAGCCGGCTGCTTCCCCCGGAAACACCGGAGACGCGCTTCCCAATTAGACGCATCACGCGCGAGAGAGAGAGAGAGAGAGAGAGGGTGGGGATTCTTCGTCACGAGAAGTTCGAACGCAATATATATGCGACCGCGACGAGATTGATTAATTAATGTAATTAGACGAGAGCGGATAATGATCGCGCGACTGTCGGCTATTCGCGCGCGCGACGGAACGCGTAATCTATCCGTTCGCGCACGTGAGCGGATTTCGCAATGACGCGTGCGGCCTCGAACGCGCTTCGAGTGACGCCCGAAGAGAACACACAATCGCGAGGAAGATAGCGAAAGTGCTCGGAAGCCGCTCGCTCGAGTTTTCTCGCCGGTGAACCAGTTTCACGCCGGAAGTTCGGGCGCGCAGCACGTATACACACGTTCCGATACATATAAAGTGTAGCCTCCGTGAGAAAATATTTAGATGCCGCGACATAAAAGCCGATATATCGATCGGGGCGCGCGCGCTTCCCGAGAAGAGCCGTCAGACGACGTCGTCAGTCAGTCGAGCACGAACGGATGAGTGAGCGACGCGAATTGATATTTGTAAAAATACTCGATGATTCCAAATATCCTCTTCGGTCGACACTACGTGTCGGTAGTCGTCTTGTCTGGAGGAAGCTCGGTACGGTCAGAGCGAACGAAAGTTCGAGTTTCCGAAAGCTGTCTCGGCGAAAAACGAAAGAAGAAAAGAAAGAAAGAGAGAGAGTCGCGACGTGAATTGATATTTGTAAGAATACTCGACGATCCCGAGTATCTTCTTCGTTCGACACTACGTGTAAGTCTATCTTGTCTGTATTACAGAATCTACGATCAGAGTGACTCCATAAGGGGAGAATTCCACGTAGTTTCGTCGAAATCATGCGAGGGAGAAAGAGACATGTGCAGTTTCCGTCTATCGCGCAGTATTGTAGTCAGCTGTGCTGTAAGCCGACGAAAACAGCTTCATTGATATTTTTTGCTGTGCGTAAAAGTTATTATTTCAGAAAAATAGTCGGATGTGTACAATTCTGTTTCGTAATCATTCCCCAGAGACGGGATATATAATGAAAACACCGTCGAGAAATACACAAGGCCAATCACAATAGATAAAAAACGTTAGCTATGCTACGATGGTAAATCGATGACAAGCATCATAGCTTTAAATAAAATAAATGTATTTTGAAACGCAATACAAACAACAGTGTGCAGTAAGTAACCGTTCTTTTACATACACCATGTATTTATTAACATTTTTTAATTCATCAACAATTAACATTGACATTTTCGATTTTAATTTGAGTATTTCTTTAACAAAAATATAAAAATTCGGAAAATAAGATTGAGAAACTGACGAAAACGGATGAAGCATGGCAGATTGATCAAAAGTGGTAGTAGTCTTATAGAGTCTATACTAGGAAGCGCGAACGAGGATTCGAACTTTCGAAAGCTGCTTGAACAAAAACGAAAGAGGAAAAGAGAGAGAGAGAGAGAGAGAGAGAGAGAGAGAGAGAAGGAGAGTCGCAACGTCTCGGAATTCTCGATGTGCAGTACGTACGCGTTTAATAAAACGCGTTCCGGCGGAAGTCTCGCGGGCAGACATATTGCAAAGAATGACGTAATATCGTGCGCGCATACGGAGGGACAAACATTACATTATCCCAAGTTATCAACGGCGCAATCCGACGTAGCCACACACCCACCCAGCCACACACACGAGCCCATCTATCACACACGCGCGCGCAAGCATTGTATCGAGAAATGCGCTGCAAAATGCAGCGGAGCGTGTCTCAAAGTGTATCGATAATTCAGCGCGTATCCTGCAATATGCTCGAGATGAATTTGGCGTCGTGACCGATGATCCATCATTCGTCGGAGATTCGATAAAGTGGCCCGTCATCCGGCCCGGCGATAAACTTCGTCTGGATTTACCTCGCACCCCGACGATCTATTCTAGTTCTAATTTCTGCATCTGCTTTTTCATGCCCGGCCTGACCGCTGCTGTTGCTGTTTTTTTCTCCCGCTCTTCTTTTTCACGAGGTTGCGATCGTCGAAAATAAATGAACGAGGACGGATGTAAACTGGGACGTGACGCGCGAGAATACGTCCCACGGACGACGATCCGCTTTATTATGCGATAAAAGTTCCCGCGGACTCTCTCTCTCTCTTGTCCGTAACGCGCGCGTAATGTGTGTAGAGCCCGGACGCGCGCGATAACGTCTCGCGAATAATAACTTATTCGCCTTCGAGGGGGGAAATTAGTCCGGATTCTTAATGAAACGTCCACCGCGGCTGCGAACGAACGAGCGAGCGAGCGAGCGACTGCCTGCGGAAAACCCTCTCGTTACTCTTCCCCTCTCCCTCGTCGTCGCTATTCTTTATTTTGACGTCTCCGCGGAAAATTCAGATTACGAAGTTAGCTCAGCCGATGGGGAAGCCGCTCTCTCAGTACGAAAAAGAAAAGAGGACACGGCCGCCTGCGCGTGAGCAGCGATTCGCGTGACTTCCGACCAGCCGAGACGCACTCGGGCAGCTTGGAGGAAAACTTTTGCATCTCCGCGATCCAATTCTCCCCTTCTTACTCTTCTCCTCCTCCCTCTTTTCTATTTTTTCTCTCCCCCTTCCTCCTCACCTTCGCCCACTCTCTTTCTCTGTCTCTCGTGCGACGCGGTAGTCACTCATTCGGTCCCGTCTCATTAATTCTTTCCTGTCTTCCCGGGGAAGTTGTATCTTGGATGTTTCTTACCCCCTCGGTGCTGCCGGCCGAGCGTGCCCCCCCCCCCCCCCC